CCAATTGATAATTGAGCATGGGCCTTCATCTATCAAAAGTTAAAATAGATAAAATTAACAGTGACATCTGGCTACATCATATGTTGTCACCACTTGTGCTCCAGATGTGTAAGGTAACACACCTCCTTTGTAACCGCTCCCTGCATCTTGTAGAAATGTCTGAACCTGCAACTCTGTTGTTCTACTGTTTTTGGTATGTACATAATTTAAACTGACTGTATAATATTAGTTCATAACTGTTAACCAATATTTCGGCTAACTTATAACTATTTTTGTATCAGCACCCTGTTCATCATGTTACCATGTTAGGAAGAAACATTACTCCTGTCCACATTGATATGCTTACTGCTCGTACAGTCATGTCGACGGTTTCATCTTTATATTGTATAGCTTTAAGCATATTTTTTAGTTTAATTTTAAATTTAATATTTTTTCTCACCTTGTATAATTTTAAGTATACTTAGACCTGTCGCTATTACCAACTGATGAGGGACTATTTTTCCATTGGAAAATAGTCCGAAATGCATTTTGGATTTTTACGGTTTTTATACTTTGTAATTATCTTATTGTACAACCCTATCTGTTTTATTAAATTTTTTTACTTTGATTTTTGAGCATTTGTGCCCTTTGTCATTGGTGTGATAAGCCCTTCCTATTATCTACCTTATGGTTATAGATATTTTGATTAATTAATTTAATTATACTAAAGGCTAAAAGCAATTTTCTGCAATATAAAAATATGACAGATTAAATGTTCAATATTCAGCAATACTTAAAAATGTCAGCATGGTTTTTAATTGAATATTCACATTAAAGAAACTCAGAAATTTAAGTTTTTGATCAAAAACATTGTTTTTAAATGTGATATATATATTAAATACAACAATTTTTATTTATCACTACAATCCTTTTTACACATTTTTAAATTGCTTTATTTTAAATGTAAATATAATTAAACTAAACATTAATGTGTTCTTGGATAATGTGAATTTTTTTACTATTAAAAATAATCATTTCAGTACTTTCCATAACTCCATTAGCTTGTATTTGAAAAATATTTTTATATTTTTTTTTGTTATAAGAAATGCTTTCATTTATATAATAAAAGGAAATATTAATTACAAAGAAATAAGCATGAAATATGGTAATTAAGTAATTAACTGTTAACAGTATATACTTAATGGAATTTTAATATTTCAAAAATTTAAGTTCATATAATCCAATTCATTTAGCTTTAATGGTCAAATTTGAAGTAATTTTATTTACACAAATCCTCTCAGATATATTGATTACAGTATAAAAAATAATATTTCTTAATATTATCTGTGAATTCTGTATTTATAAAATGTAAAGAATAGTCTTTTTTGTTTATAAAAAACATATCACACAATGTATAAAAAAAGTTATAGTAGTAGCAGAGTTTAACTTTACACATGTATAGTGTAAAGTTAAACTCTGCTATTGTTAAGTTAATAATTTCCAATCTGTATAATGTGAAATGTGTAATAACATTTAAAATCAGGATTCAAATTTTATCAAAAATGTTTTCCATCATTCTTTCTAAAAAATTCTATTTTTACAAAGGATTTTTAAATTTCACTTACTTGGCAGTCAATTTGTTGATAATGTACAAAAGGAACGCTGAATTGTTGACTGGTCCCATCTGAGAAATGGCAAGTGAAAATGGCACTATTATTTTCATTTTGCTGTAAAAATATTTGTGTTAATTAGAATCTATTTATCACAATTTGTTATAAAAATAGTAAAATATAATATAAAAGAACAAAATCCTCTATCTTATATTCTAATTTAATTCAAAATTTAATTCAATTTATTAAAAGTAAATACTTAATAACCCATGACAGAAATATATATTTTATTGATTCAAGTCAAATAGAAATATTATCTTCATTTTGCTAATTGATTAGCTATTAAGTTATAAATATTAATTTAATTTAGAATATTCTGGCTGTCTACCTCTAGCCAAATCATTTAATATCTTAATTAGCCTTATTATTGTAGCATGATAAGAATCTGGATGTATTGTTTGATTAATAATGTTTATTGGGTTTATTGTATATATAATTATAAATACTAAATTCATATAATTAAGTTTCAGCTTAACAGCTACTAATATACAAATTATATATATAATCTATACTAATATTATAAAGAGGTTATGTATGTATGTATGTATGTATGTATGTATGTATGTATGTATGTNGGAAAATATATATTTTGTATTTTACTAAACTCATGTTGTCATAGAAAAGCAATGAAAATTTTTTTTCTCTCTTATGTATTTATTCTGTTTACTTACAATTTTCATTAGAGTGACTGATGGAATGTTCAGAATAAATAAAAAAAAGCAAAATCTAAAAATAAAGACTAAAATGACTACATTTCCTTAATTTTATATTAAAAGAATAGTAACCCTTACTTACATATTTTATCTGGCCAAAACATAGGAAAGAATATTTGTTGTCAGTATGACTTGAAATTTTTTATTTCTATTCTCATTTTGTTTGTCACAACAGGAACTTTATGCTGGAATTACTCAATACTAATAATACAAACACAACAAAAGATTTCTTTCTTTAAAGAAAGCAGGGAATTTTCAGATCATCACATTAAGAAAATAAACACATTTTGATGATTTTGATACTAGATTAAGTAAAATTTACAATTCTTGTATATTTCACAATTTATTATGAAAATTAGCTCTCTTGAAATATAATGCATTATTTTCTTATAAAAATATGATGAACTACAATATGCTTAAACAATAATTTTGAAAAAAATTATAAGTATATTACAATCAACTCCCAACTTTAATAAATATAATGCAAATGAGACAGAATTACTGTATATAAATATTGCAAACAGAATATACAGGGTGTTTATAAATGAATGGTGCAGTTTTATAAATTAATAATAAATCTATTTATTACCTTAATCTCGGGCATTGACTGAGTTTATGTACCGTCAATGCCTGTGTCCCTTGAGAAACTGGGTGATCGGATAAAGAATGCACTGCAGACCATCACGGAGGACATGCTACACCGCGTATGGGAAGAATTTGATTACCATGTAGATGTGTGTCGTGTGACCATGGGTGCACATATTGAAGGATTGTAATTAATGCATAAAAAACTTGGACAGTTGCCACTGCTTATGCTGTAAGGTTTGCTCATATAAGGTAATAAATAGATTTATTATTAATTTTTAAAACTGTGCCATTCATTTATAAACACCTTGTATTATTATTAGAAAATAAAAATCATTATAGCAAGTTTAATTCATATAAGCAGTATATTAACTAATATATTATTCAATTAAAATATGTATTTTAAACATAAATTCAAACCAATTCTTTATAAATAAATTTGTATTGTTAAAATTAAATCTTATTTAATTAATAGAAGTCCATAATGGATATTTCTTCTTGAATATAAAAGTTGATCAAGATTAACACAACTATAGTCATCATCAACAATTACATATGATATTCTTATGTATGTAAAGGAGATATGTGTATATCTCTTAAGTTCATTTGAAAATAGTCAAGAATTGTATTATTTTGATTAAATTTAAAAAAAAAAAAAAATCTTAAAAAAAAAATTCTGCAATTAAGATATATGAGCTTAAAAATTTTAATGATTAAAAATATAATTTAAACAAAAATTGAATAAATGTTGTGTGTGTTGTGAAGAATAACTGATGTGAAACTGAAGTATTGAATAATTACATTATATATATATATATAAATGGACGCGTGTGTCCCTATATTTCACTTTTCAGCCAAAACTACACATCGCACATGAATGGTGTTTGTATGTGGTAGTAGCTCCAAGTCTCCATTCGTGCACTATGGTGGTTGAGTCTCAATATCTATAAGGGTGCGGGAGATATGGGATTGAAAGTGGTTGAAAGTGGAAGATTTTCTATTTCAATTTTAAAAATTTTCGAATTTGAATTGATTCGATTATAGAACGATTGTAAACATTCCAGAAAATTGATCAAATTGAAAATAGTTCATTTGACTGGACATAAAAATTCTCTAATTAGTCTGGAAACGGGGGACCTAATTCTTGCATTCTGTGAAAACGGGTAAGATTGGCTATAATGTAATTATCTTAATCTTCACTATCGTTACTTTTTGCCCAGAGAAGGGAGTCCTTGCAGCTACATTCTAGATTACTTACAAAAACAATCTTTTATATATAAAAAAAACTATATTACATACAAATAAAAACCCAGCGAAGCGGGTCCTTGCAGCTAGTTATTGTAATAAAATGAAAGAAAAAGAACCAGAGATGAAAAATATACTAGTACCTTATACTTCAAACAACTAACTTCAATGTTCCAGAGTTTGAATGCTAAATTTGGGAGAAATTCTAATACAGTTCATATGATGCTTCTATATTCAAATTGTGTGCATAGTGAAAAAATGCACTTTCTGTGTAAATGCTATGTGCTAAGCACCCAAAATCATCTCTTGTTCTCACTATGAAAGCATCTCTTCATTACATTCATGTGTTTTCAGTGCTTTTTTTTCACTTTATTTTTGCCATGTTTGGTTATATATATATATACACCCTATATATATACTACCTATTAACATATTAACTGCAGTATCCAAGAAGTATGTGGAAGTAACAAAGCCTAACAGGAAGGTTGTAATTTCAATGATTGAGGTGAAAAGGGAAATTATGAAGCATGAAAGTGGTACCAATGTGGCAAATCTGGCATCAATATTTAACATATCAAAGTTGATGATGTGTATCATTCTTAAGAACAAAGAAGCAATTAAAAGCAGCAAATGCGGTTAAAAGTGTGAAAATATTGACCTCCAAGAGATCACACATTATTGAGGAGCTGGAAAAACTGCTCAGAGTGTGGATAAATGAGAAGCAATTGGTTGGTGAAATCATCTCCATGAAAATTTTGTGAGAAAGCCAAACAACTTGCATAGTGACTTGAAGAAACAGGCCATCACCACTCATTACTAAAGTACAGTACAGTAAATGCAATTTCATTTTACTATACAGGAATTAAGATTATTTATGTATTTACTTATTCTTTAGTCCATTATTTTCATAAAAATAAAGTCAAGCATTGTACAGTGAAATCTAAAATAGAAAGGAAATATATTCAATTTTCATTCTGATTATTAAATCAATTGAACATCAGTGAGTAATTATGATTAAACTTTCATTTCGAAAAAAATTTGTGTTTGATAAAAATTAATCTATCATCAAAATTATGAAATAAAAACAAAGAATAAACTTTTCAATTAAACAGAAATTCCTTAATGCCAGTAATCTATGTCTGAAAAATCAGACAGACATTCTATGTCAACGGTTCCCAACCTTTTTCGGGTAGCGACCCCCTTTTTATAAAAGCCAAGTGACCCGCGACCCCGATACAATTGAAAAAGGTATTTTTAATAAGGTAATTAAAAAACAATGAAATTAGTTTTTTAGTATAATTTATTTTAAATTATGTTTAATAATTAATTTAATGAGATGGTTGACATTGCATGTATTATTAACCAGCCTCAAAATTCGCGAGTGAGATTTTGTTAACGCCAACCTCATGTCGTTCTCAACATTTAATTTATTCCTCTCAAAACTCTCAACACACGATTCAACCAACTGTGACAGAATAGCGTACTCAGATTACACTTATTTTAATTTTTTAAAAATATATGAAATTATTCAAACTTTAAGACACCATTAAAAATAAATATTGCATTATAGTGAAAATTTTGTTTTAGTTTACTGCATAAGTTGGCGACCCCACAGAAAACCCGTCGTGACCCAGAAGGGGGTCGCGACGGGTTTTCCCCTTCTGGGTCGCGACCCATAGGTTGGGAACCCGTGGTCTA